AAAAAATTTTAAAATTAAAAAAATTGACAGTTAAAAATGACAGATATATTAAGAAAAAAATGTTATTTTTTAATATAACTGTCACTTTTACTAATTTCATATTTAAGATAAAAAAATGTCATTTTTTTAATATAATTAAATTGTCACGTTATATTAACTATAATTTTTAATATATTACTTTTTTAACATATTTCATCGAATATTCGACTTTTGTAATCGTGAGAAAGAAATTCATTTGTATCTGACATTATACTTGTCTCACTATCCGATAATTAATATCCGTAATATTCGATTGCTTACACAGGTATAGCAAGATACAAGATTAAAATCGGAAAATTGGATTTTTAGGTATTAATTAATTCTTCATATATACAAAATATGTAAAAAAAAAAAGGTACTCACTTGAAGAACTGACAGCTTTGTCTGATTGCTCAAAGCCTCTTTCTCTGCTTCATTCGGGTATGCATTCCGTTTGTGTTCGTTGAGCCAGCGTTTTAAAATATTTACTGCATCCTTAGGCAGGTTTCCGCGACGTTTCCGATTTACATCTTGCGTGGATGCGACACGTCGATTTGTGTTCCGGTTCGGTGATGGATTCGGCTGCGTATTTTCTGCTTCCGGATTTATGTTGCGCTCGTCGTCAATCGGTGGCGATATCCTGCTCGCTTGTGCGGCTTGTCGTCTAGTTTGTACTACCACTGAAACAAACATTATTAAAATATTATTTTACATTTTAATTATTACACTTTGCATTTTTACATTGTGTTGCGGTTTCATATTAAATATTGTATTTTATATTGAAAGATTATACGCACTGGTGATAATTGTCTCGATTATTGAGAAATACACGCTCAAACGAAGAAATGCTTTTTCGTAGTTCTTTAGAAAAATCTCGACTGAGCAATAATCATATGCTAGGTTTCTTATGGTAAATTTCTACCATGCAGTTTCAGATAGAAAGGTTTTTTATTGATGGACTTTTCCTCTGTACAAAAGCAGGATTGGGAAAGATGTAGTTCAATGAAGGGAAGGGGGAGGGGAAGTGCAGGAAGAGAGGAAAAGTATCGTCGTGTGCACCATACTCTTTTTTTTATATTATTTTTTTATTGATTTATTTGCCTGATCCCTTTTGTCTTATCATTCTGACTTTTATGACCATGTTTAGCTAAAAGAACAGATTTTAAGTACGACAAAAAAATAATGTTATTTTCAAAATTATGTAACAGATTATTTTGTTTGTAACAAATCGAATCAAATGTTTTAGTTTCCTGTACATTTTATAAGTTTCATAAGAAATTATTGTATTTTTAAGAGAAAACTAAAAAATAAAACTGTATCTAACTGTATCCTTTATTTATTGCATGTCATTTCTTGCCTACAGCGTTATAAAACCGAATTGGCTTGAAAGAGAGCTAAACTCTCGAGTTCATTAATCTTATTCAGATTTGAAAGAACATTATTGATTTTATTTGAAATCTTTGAATTTTCCTTCTTCTTTTCTATAAATTCTCTTAAATATTTCAACTCTTCAATTAACAAAAACCAATGCGTATAATAACAAAAGTTAAAACGTTGTTGCCTAGCTTTTTAGAGACAAAATGTGTAGTTCATGATCATACATGCATATTAAATGCATGCATAATGAATATTTGAAATTGATTTTTTGGAAAACGAAGTCTCGTAGTATAGAAAAAATTAAATTCTATATTCTTAACATATCTTTTTCATGTAAAATCACTCCCTTTCCGTTTATACATTAATTCTGAAACATCTTACATAACTTTCAATCAAACGAGATGAAGGACCACGTCCTCCATGGTGGATAAAGGCAGGACGGTGATAATTGTGCAAATTATGTTATACAATATCGTGCGGCATAGTAAGACTCTCGTATCGGGATTTCATTATAATCTGTTTAACGTTAACGTTATGTTGTATTAGCAGGTCGCGAGTTACGCGGTAAATGATATCAGAGCGTTGCATAAATCAGCGATATCTGCAAAGGGTCAGAAAAAGCATGCGACGCGGGGTCGCGTCACAAACCGAGATAGAAAACTACGTCTTTAAACATATTTGCATTAGTATACAGAGCAATTTTTAACTCACACTACTGTTAAAAATTTGAAGTCCATCTAAACTTCTATCTAAACTTTAGTATAGTCATATTTTTATTAAAGATATAACTATTTTAATAAAGATATTAATATTATTTATGTATATACACCGTTTGGGTCCGTCAAGCCTAAGATCAAAATAAAAACAATTTTATTTTGCATTAAATTTGATGGATTTATTATTTAATTTATAGATTATAATTTATCAGAAAGAAAGCTGAAGAGAAATTAATATAGTACTATTAGACTCTTAATCTTTTAATATATACGTCAAAACGCGATGATATAGCCACCGATGAAATAAGCGCAACGAGAGAATCAATCGCGAAAAAGAGGCAACACTTTAAGAAATGCAAGTATTTTAACTTAATATGCCTTTTTTTAGAAGTGGTATTGCCTCGCCACTCGTTTTTCTTGATATTACTGCGATAGTCACCCAGCTGTCCGCTTAAAAATATTAAAGTTGGACGTGTTTAATTCTGTTGCAACGATTATTATATGCCGCAATTTCAAAATCTAGACGCCAGCGAATAAAAAACGAGAAGATTCTAGAAAAAGTTTTCACAAAAAAGTTTTCAGCGAATTAAAATGCTTGAAAGTTTTCAAAGCGAATAAAAACAATGCCATGCTAACTATCCTTTAAAAGATATATACATTGAGAGAGAGAGAGAGAGAGAGAGAGAGAGAGAGAGAGGAGGAGGGGAGAGAGGGGGAAAGAGAAGAGACGTATACACTAAATTTAGCACTTGAGATTTACAGTTACGTAAGGTCCAGTAACCCGAGGGTGTAAAATTAGGATAGCTTTTCCACAGACTTCTATATACTTTTAGACTACTAACTCCATATGTATGAGTGATGCCAATTCTTACAAATTTAGCACGTGCGTTATAAAAATGCCTAATGATGAATATTTGTATATGAGAGTATATAGAAGTATAGTTTCAACACACAGAGTATATAGAAGTATAGTTTCAACAGTTTGCGGTTTTACGAATTTAATTTTTACTCCATTATTTAATTGTCTTAATATTAGATTTCAAAATCTTTATGTTTTTCTGAAATGTCTCTTCGAATAATCAATTTTTATGAATGCTGGAAAGATTACGATATTCGCTGCTTCACTTTATTTAAACAGAAATTATACCATAAAGCAACAATGTACATCGACAACGATGTTATATAAATACATAAGAGATTCACAGACTTTTTATATATTTCTATATATTCCTAGCTATTTCTATGCTAACTCTTTATATAAGCTTAGATGCAATGAATCTCAAATGATATAATGCGCGAAATAATGCCCGAATTCGGAAAGGAAACTTTTTTCCAATAATAGAAACCGATTTCTTCGGGGAATGATTATCTTTCTCCTTTCGGAAAAAAAGATATTTGGCATTGATGAATCTATATTGTTGCTTGATATAATTTATAATATGTTATAATATGTTTTAGTGAAACTCAAGAAGTGAAATAAATAAATTCATTCAAGAACAATAAATAAAAAGACGAAAAATTCTTTTTTATATGCTTTTTCGTTCTTTTAATTTCCTTATATGTTATATGTATATTATATGTTATATTATATTATATGTTTTATATTTTTGTGTTCAACGAGAAATTTTTAAATTGCTAGAAAAATATTTTGGAAAGATAACAATTTATATTTTTGTTCAAAAAAAATCATGAAATTGTCAATAATAATAACGAAAGATAAATATATTTGTTATAACTATTAAATGCCATCTCGACCATTTTTATTACTCCAAATTTAACACTCAGGAAAAATCGTAGGATACAACATTTCAATTATGTATTATAAATTTAATTATTTATTAACTATTTACAATAAATTATTGGATAAATGTAATGTAATATCTAATGTATTATGTTGTTATCAATTGTCAAACGTTGCTGTCAAAATTGTCAAACATTGTTGTCAGAATATATTTTTTTAAAATTGTTTCAATAATATTATGGCATTACTCATAAAAATATTAACTATTTATTAAAACTATTTATTAAATTATTGGATAAATTAATGTATTTTGTTGTTGTCAGTTGTCAAACATTATTGTCAAAATTGTCAAACATTGCTGTCAAAATTGTCATGTTGCTGCCAGAATATATTTTTTAAAATTATTTCAATAGTATTATGGCATTACTCAAAAAAAACTTATTTAAAAAAAAAATATTTGTTTAACCTAAAAAAATGTTATATTTTATTTATTGAAATCTATAACTGCATAATTATAATGGAATCGCTATTTCACTATCATTTTTTTTAAATGTCCATATATGTTATTGCCGTTACGATATTTTTATAGAATTCAGTATTATTTTAGTTTGTATTACTTTGTAAAACTAATTACAGGAACATAAGTTTCAGAAATAAAAAAATTATAGTTTAAAATTATAGTTTCAAAATTATTTCTCTTATAAAAGGAGTATAAAAGAATACATAAGGAGAAGCAAGAAACTTCAAAGATATGCAAAACTTGAAAAATGTGTCAAAACTTTTTAGATGATTCTATGAAGAATATATAAGAATAAGCATAATATATAAAAGAAAAAAGTTTCGAACATGAACTGATTAGGAGACACGATAGTGTCTCGGATGTCAACTCAATCGAAAACACTATCGTGTTGAATTGAACCATCCCATTCACCCTATTTTAACTGCCTAGAAAAACAGAATCCGATATATAAATTTTACAATATTTGTTCACTCAAATATACATTCCTCAAATATTGCTATAACATAATTATTGAATAGATATTTGCGGGCATATTTAATTTCAATCATACGTACATGACTTTCATAAAATCTTATATAATTTATTACATTTTATAAAAATTTAAAAACTACAATTTTAAAACTACATTAAATTTAGAGTAAACTTTTAGAAAATACGTCTTAATCGATATCACATATTATCATCCAATGATCCAATAAGTAAAATGCAAAATATTATTTCTTGCAAAAGAGAAATAATTTATAGATGCTAATGCTTAAATAAATATTAAAAATTGTAATATGCGCCATTCAAGGATGATTATAAGAATTATTTTAATATAATAAATGAACCGAAATCGATTTAATATCCTAACTTGTATTTAGTGCTCTTTCTCTAAGACTTATAATAATTTTATCATGTTATTTAAATAAATAATATATATTCGCGAAAAATTTAGAATACGCATCGAGACGTCACGATTCAGATTGACCTACGGACGATTGACTATTATTGAATATGGATTCGAAGCTGAAGTATGTAATCACTGTATTCAATGCAAAATGTGTTGACAGCACGAATCACAAGATGTCACGAAGGTGAACGCAATATAAATGAACGTGCAGTTTTAAAAATTATTGAATTTAATGGTTATGTATGGCGTTTTGACATATCTCACGATACATCCTATAAGTTCTATCAAAATTAATTCCATAATTCCTCTCACATCAGAACTATGTCAGAATCACGATGATTCAGAGCAATTTTTTTATATTCACTTATTATTATTATTATTATTATTATGTTTCTCTTTTTCATATTATATTTTATATATGTTAAATATAGTCGAAACGTTTACATTTTCTACATCTTGTGAATAAATTTTTAGAATTGTTAATCTTTTATCTGGCTCATGATTTTGGACCTTCGCCTTAACTTTTTATTGTAATTGCGTACATGAAGATTAACTTAATTTATCTATAATCTCAAGATTATATTCGATTCAATTTTTCGTTAGAATTTAAATAATTTTTCCATAATTTGACAGAAGGATATAGCAAGAAACTTCAAAAAATATTGTTGATCTTTGTATCGCTGATCCTTGAGAGTCTCGAAATTGTATGGAAATCTATGGAGATTATTATGATCACAAGATTAAATGCTCGAAAAAAATCGAGTTTCGAATCTGCAAGGCATTGCTCATCAAAATCAAGGGTGAGTTTTTCAATAAAACAAAATACACATAATACAATAGAATAAGTATATAAGTATATTATTTTCATACGTCAATATTTCATGTGATTTTGTTATTAGGCATTAAACATTATTTAAAACTGTATATGAGAATAAATAAACATAAAAAAGAACAAAAATTCATCTCTTCGGCTTAAAATTTTTAGAATGTTTTATTTATGCCATACCATCGAATATCATTGATATGTATGTGTTTAAAACAAATTATAAAAAGTAGGCAAAACATAGCTTTCTTCTGTAATTATCGATAATCGGAAACAATTTCACAATTTTTTCAAAAAATTTTAAGAAAGTTTATATGGATCAAACACATTAATTAATATATATTTTTTCTCTTTTTTCGTAAATTCTTTGATTTTAAAGTTAAAAAATATTTTATAAAAAATAAGTTTTTACACAAGAAGTTCAAAGCCTTATACTTGATAACTTATTATTAATTGCGAAAATCGGAAAATAGTATAGGGTTTTTCTGCTCAATTTATTCGTTTCTATCGCATATGAGTGATATATCATTATGAAATTATATATGACGTTCACAGCGAAAGGATTATCAATTAATGAATGGTATAGGTGATAGTGGTCGACAATAAAGCACGCTTTCACTTATGTACATTTCATTGACCACAAATACGACGCGACAAGTAACATGCGCGAATAATAAAATTATACGATCGTAAGAATACTTTCGCTATTATCGTCATCAGCAATTATTCTTAATTTTTAAATCGTCATTATAACGATGTTTACGAGAACTCATAAAGATTAAAAAAGTTTAAAATCTTCTTCATTCTCTTAACAACCAATCTTAACATTACTTAAAAATATAAATTCTTTTCTAATTTTTAAGTAAGTCCAATGAATGAACTAGTAAACGATCCAATGGATGAATTTAAGAAAATAAAGTAGCCAATTGTATGGAAGTACTGAAAAAATTAAGAGAAACTCTGATTGCTTGATTTATCTTGGCTATCTTCGCTCGGTGGCCATTTTCAATCTAATAACTAACTAGATATCCGATCTTATGTTTCCTGATTACTTGCTAATTAAATATAAAAAGAATAAGAATTAATTAAATTTAACTTTGCGATCTTTAGGTTACATTTCTTGAATTCATCCAATGATACTCGCTCTAATAAAGATAAAGATTAAAATTTCAATATAGCATAAAAAGAGCACAAATTGAAATATTGAAATATAAAACAAGTATTTTAAACATTTATTATAGAAATACCTTTTTTTCTTATTTCGATTTGTTTGACTTACACTTTCTAAAAATTTCGTTCACATTTCTTTGTCACTCCCCCTCCCTCACGTTACACTGATACAGATTTTTATTTCAGAGTAATATCCAAAAGAAAAAATTGTTCAGTAAGGCCAAATCGTCTTTTTGTTATTTTATACCTGGTCTCTCATTGCCCATTCTCTGATCTAAATGGCCAACTGGAGGTAGCATCCTTCATAATACAGGTTGAATCTTCAAGTAATTATTCAAAATTCGAATAATATTCGTGTTTGAGAAAAGAAGAGAGAAGCAAATTGCACAGTTTCTCACATGTCATGGACACAATGATGGAACGAGTCAGTTTCCATTCATAACAAATTATTATAAATCTATGACAGCGAGGACTAATGAAAATTCATTCTGTCATTTAGAATAATCGAGGACAAAACTCTCTAACTTTTCGCTCGTTATTGTATCATTATATACGTCTAATTTCGAGTATCGGCATGACATTCACGAATACATTAATTATGCGCGATGGAAATATCAATCTTGCTCGATTCTCTCGCCTTAATTAATTATTCCCGAGTCTGAAAGAACACGAAAGAACAAAATCTCGTCCGACTCGACATGGATTCTCTCGTCCTCTAGAAATTGTGACATTCGCGCCGTTCTTGCCCCTCGGACTCTCGCGACGAACCCGACGACATACCGACGACAGAACCGGCTCGATAAAAGTCCGCGTTTCCGACTCGCGCGATCACGTGCGGGCGGTCGTCATCGTCAAGGGGACGAGTATGACGCGAGTACGACGTCGACGGCGACCTGATCGCCGGTCCGCTTCCTCGGCGTGGCCACATTTGAGACGCGCTTGCGGAGCGGCGCGAAGCCTTCTCTCGCTCTTCGTTCGTTTCCCGCCCGGCTTGAACGCGATTGCAACATCCAGTTTCTCTCCTAGTGATATAACGATCGTAACAAACGTGATATCGCGCGTACCAAGTTCTTCTGATCACGACGTGCGAGCAACCGCATGTACACAAGTAAGCGCCGTTGACTCTCGTGTGGACTCTCGTGTGCCGGATTACGGAAAAAGCCTCGTGAGGAAACAATGAAAGAAAAATCCGCGGACGTCCGCGGCGATACGCGTGTGTGACTGCCGACACTAGTGAGAAGCCGACACTTACCAGCTTCACCCCGCTCCAGCCCCCCCTCCCCTCCCCACCCCCCACCCCCATTGTCGCGATCACGGTAAAGCAAGGGACGGTTGTTTAAAAGTTGCGGTGGGTCGCGAGCATTAAGCTCAACGATTTGTTTCTCTTAAATCTTGAACGCATCGAAAAATTTCTAGCCAAAGAGGTTTTACTTTTCATTAGACAGACGCACGTTATATATATATTTTTTATATAAATAGAGAGAAGGAGAAGAAATTAATAAAATGCTTAGGGAATAAAGAAGGCAAATTCGTTCCTAGGAGTTTGACAATTTTTCTTTATTATTGTATTTATATATATATATATTTAAATTCAAAATTAATTTTGCTTACGCGAACTATATTATTTTTAACGGACTTACGACGCAGCAGTTCAAAGCTAATTTTTAATAAATCAAATAATCAAATTTTGAAATCGATTAATCCTCCCTCCTTTATCCCTATTGAAAATTCTAAAATAAAATAAAATACTATTATTCTATTAATAAAATGTTATTAAATTATATAAATAGTTAGAGAAAAATTACCTATCTCTTCATCACACTTTTTACTTATAAAGTAATATTTTTGCCTCAAATTTATAAATAATTTTTTTCTAAAAATTAAATACTTTATATGCTTTTAACTTCATCCTTGGGTTATATGACAGTGCATAGTACAAGGCATACTACTCATTGCGAATAGAACAGTAGCATGGCAAGTGGTGAAAACACGAATATCCTTTTTGTATTAGCGACAATGGACTAACGAGAAACACGAACCTATTCGTCTGCTGTCCACTTATTTGCACAAATTGTTAAAATGACCCGCGCGGATTTGCGTAAAATGTTTAGAGAGCACGCGCTAATCGCGAGCGCTCACGCGAGCGCGTTATTTAGTGGTCTAGTTTATACCGGTATATATATATATATATATATATATATATATATATATATATTATATATATTTTATAAGTACATATTCTATACGTGCTTCATATGTTCTCTCTGACATGATGCAATATATATCCCCTTTGCATTGTTATATATGTATGTGCTCCGTAACACTAAGGGAAATATTATATTTGTCATATTGTGATACAAATGTAATATTATCCTAATCTACTTGCGTTTTTATGAAATCATAAAAGTCCATCTATTTGAAAGATTTATCGTGTTTTAAAAAGATTTTTATTTTTTAGAAAGTTTCTCTTTTAGAAATTCGTCTTTTAGAAAAGACAAATTTTTCTGTCATTTATTTTTTCTGTTATTCATTTTCACACCTTTTTTTCATCATCATCATCATCATCATCATTTCATCATCATTTATCACGTTTGCCTTTTAAGGGTCTTATTAATCCATGATTTATTTTTTTCATGTTAAAATATTTATTATCTGAAAAGTCAAACGCAATTGCGTTTGATCTCAAACAATGAAAAACTATTTCAATAAATTTATTTGGATTAAAGAAAATTTATTAGAGCTGAAGAAATCTTTTTCTCTATATGATTTGACAAATTGTATGCTTCATAATAATTTTTAAGCGGAGGGTCGCTATCAATCGAGTTACTTGAAATTTATAACTTTATATGTGACATTACTTTTTTTTATTAAATTATATATATATGTATATAATAATATAATTTATTAATATGGTATGTGAAGATTATTATAATAATTTATTAATATAAATAAATTTAATTCTAATAAATATACAGTAAACGTCACGTAAACTTCGTAAATATTTCCTATCTCATATTTTCCATCCCATATTTTCCATCTTACCAACAGCTCTTTTTTCAGGTGTTGTGCTGGCTTCTATTAATTAACAAATTATTTAAATATATTTAACCTCTGATATTCTACTTAAAAATGGTCGTATAGAATTCTGCTAGCGAGAACTGTCACTAGAATTGAAATAAATAATTGGCATTTTTTACAGCAACGAGACTAGTCGTACCAGTCAACGTATGGACCACCGGCACAATGTGTCGCAATTGGCAAATTGTTAGGAAAGCATAAAGCTAATGAGGTACATTTGTAAAGAATTTTAAATACCTGCGTTAAACTCGAGCAACTCCCAACATGCATTTTTCCAACCTATTAAATTATCTACTTTTATCCACTATATCTATCTTTAATTTTTCATCAGTAAATATGCATCATATGACAAATATTCTCATAGATTAGACACATAAGTTTTTTTATCAGCGTAAGAATGACGATACGATACATTAAATCTTTCGTGCCAGTCCAATGACCGAAACATGTCAAGGAAACTATCGTCGGTGTGTGTGCTTATAAAAGTAACAGTTGAAGAATAAATTACACAGAAAACGCAAAATGTCATCGAGAGTCGAGACAGAAAAGCTGTAATGATTCAATAGTAACATTTTTCATAATGAAAGAGAGAGAGAGAGAGAGAGAGAAACACAGAAGATACCTTTATCTGGCGTAATTCATTGAAGTTTTTTTCGACGCGGATTTCTCGATAAATCAAAATTTCGAGGTGTTTATGTTGTCATTAATATTATTATTATATTATTATTGTAATTAATGTTTGGTGTATTAAACAAATGAACTTTTTCAGGACTGAACACTCAATTTTCGAGAATAGACGGTATCTCTTGATGGTCTCTCGTCCCCAAGAGATCTCTGTCAAATTGCCAGAACTTAATTTTCGACGGCCAGCTATTTATAAATGTTGTACAGACAAACACCCTTCGAAACATTACATCGATTGTCATCGGTTAAACAGTGCAATGTGCCATCAAATACAATTTTGTAACTAAGAATGTTTTTTTTGTGGGAAGATAATATATCACCTTCCGATTTCGCCTTCCATTTTCAAACTGCTCGGAAATATTCGCCTGAAAGTTCTATCATACGCTATTCACATATGCAAACCATTAATTAGCATTGTAACAGCAGATAGCAAGTCGTTACAATGTTGTTCTTACAGATAACATTAAGATAAGCAATTTCGTGCAAGAATGTTTGCTTATACTGAGGCAACTGTCTTGACAAATACTTGAAAATTTCAGAAAACGTTCATAAATTCTTCACTTATATGACTTCACTTTTCATAAAATTTGTGACTAAAATTAAGTAAAATAATTAATATGATTCATTTGTTGCAACATCGATATAATTTAGAAATTGTCATTTCTTTAATCGTTTGCAAAATGAAGGACGAGTCGTTAAAGTTTTTATTGCCGAGAAAGTGATATAACTTAGCTTTTAAAACTCATAATTGAAAAGATAATTTATCAAGAGTGTCATGCATCAAAAAGAATGGCTCTTAAGGGTTTATTTTTAGTAAGTAAGAATTCAATATACTAAAGGAAGAGTTAATGACATTTTTACTCTTCTTTTAGCTTTTAGTTATTGTAATTTACAATATCAATACATCAAAATCACATTTAAAATTAATATTAAAATGTTTTAATGACTCAAAGCATATAAACTAATTTTCTGGGAAATCTTTTTTTCTCAGTTATATCGTTGCTATAAGAAATAAGATATGTTGATTATTTTTATATTAAGAATTATATATTTTACAAAAAAAAATTCAATCTGGTATTCCAAAATTTTGTTTCTTACCGATATATTCTTTCTGCAAATTATTATGCATATTTGTGCATATTTTACAATAAGCAAAAAACAAATAACGTTGCATTAAAAAAATGTTTAGTCTATCTTTTACCAATTATTATTAATAAATATTTCACAATTTTCGATAGCATTCTTCCTCTTTGATCCAACTAGCATGCATATTCACACTTCACATACATTTCCAGTTCGTGTTAAGAATCGAGCCTTAACGACGAGAAGATATCGTAAGATAAGAAGTAAAAGTAAATATACAACGCCGAACTCTAGATAACCCTTTTAATATGTCACAAAACAGCGAAGACTTTCAGAGAAGAATTTCAGGGAAAGAGATCTTAAGGGAAA